TGTAACAATACGTATTTACATTTCCTATATATGTTCAATGTTTTCTTTATGACATAAAAGCCGTTTTATTGGTTTTAACCACCCGCTATTTAGTATCAAGCCCATATTACGGTAAATCATAAACCCATATTCATAATTATCGTAATATTTTTTTGTTTGGCTAGCCGCGCTACAGTACAGTTAAAATATCATGAATTGTTGCATTAATTAATTCTAATTTAGACGCAAAACGCTTATGCAATTTAAATCCAGCGCAATTTCTATTGTATATATACGAATATTTTCCTTAATAATTTAAATAATTTGTTGATCAATGTCGGCTTATCTCTGAGAAATGACTTTGTTACGTAAGCAAATTCGAGATAACACAAAAATGAAGATGAATCTAAAATCAATCCTAACTATCCAGACAGCACACAAAGTCCTAAAGACGTATTTTTTAGGTCTTCATCGCGTCTGAACGTCTAACTGAAGACCAAAAAAAGAAGTCTGGAAGATGTCGTGAATTTACAACTGAGCTACACTATTTGGTACAACCGGGCCTTAAAGTGGATAATAGTTTATTTAGTAAAAAGAGATTCAAAGACGTCTATAAGACACCTCGTTAAAGACGGCTTTAGAATGTCTTGGAAAAATGTTATAAAGACGTTTTCAAGCAGACGTTTGAAAGATTCGAAACTTTAGAACCATTCTAGAATGCTCCAAAACATTGAAAACCCGATTTACAACTTCCAAAAGCATTTTAGAACAATTCAGGAGTTTGAAACCCATTTTAGGACGCTCCAAAACACTCAAACACTCTAGAATCACCGGAAACATTAAATTGCTGTAGAACTTTAAACCTTTAATAAGCATCCAAAATAGTTCAAATCCAAATCAGAATTTTCAGAAGCAACTAGAAACCTTTAAGAACTTTTTTATACCAATTTAGGACACTTAGGAACTTCAGTAGGGCTCTAAAATACTTTAAAATCTGTCAGAACAATTTAGAAGTCTAAAATGCTCCAGAATTCTTCAAGTTCAGTTAGAACACTTAAGAACTTCAATAAGTCATTTAGAACGTTCCAAAACACTTTCCAGCAGCATTTTAAAAGGCTCCAAAACAATTTAAAAACCTTAAAATTATTTCATACAGCCTAGCGCTTGGAATAGACCAAAATTGATAGTTACAAAATGAGTTATAATGAAATATTAGTCCTGAAGACGTCTTTAGGCCGACGTCTGAAAGACGTTGGGTTTTGCAACATACGACGTCTTCAAGACGCCTTGAAGACGTAAGCAGACATCTTGAATATCGTTTGTTGACATCTTAAGAACGTCTTTAAGATGTCACTGTGCTGTCTGGATAATCATAAAACTAATTCACAACTTACTGTCTTACTATCGAATCGCGTTCCGACCGGATTTATATCTTTCTCCTGAATAAAGGTGTGTTCTTTGGGTTTGCTTGGATCACCAAAAGGACTGCACAACACTACAACACAACTTTCTATTTAAATAATTATCATCAACAATAATCAATATACAGGGTGGTCCATCTAAATTGAGACAGGGAGAGCCTAATATCTCGAAAACTGGCAATTAGCTCTAAAAGAGAGAAGTTTAATGGGCTAAAGGAAGAAAGAAAATGGTAAAACTGATCTTTTACTTTGACATTCTCTACAAGGTTACTTCAAAGTTATTTCGAGGTCAACTTTCCTCTGTGCCTTTTTGTGATCTAGTTATAATTTGAGCAAAGAAACAAGTCCATAGACTAGGAGGATTCACTTATAATGAATTGGTGTTGTAAAACTATAGCAGTTTCGTTGAACAATGAACATTCCAGAAAATTTAAGAAGTTTTAGAGTAGCAGGAATAGAAATAGATTAGGTCTTATCACTGCTAAATATGAAACCAAACAAGGCAATTCTACTGAAACAGCTACTCACAAAAAATAGTCTGATATTGCTTCCTCACACAACAGAGAACTTCTTCAAGCAAAACTCATCATGAATCTAGTAGAAATACTTACAATGACTCCACCATGAATAGAAACGATCAAAGGGCTATTGAGTATATTGTTGAACCAGATTCTAGACGATTTAGTAAACAACAAACAACAAAAACTACTCAAAGTGAACAAACTAATCGACAAAGTCAACAAACAACAAAAACCACTCAAAACGAACAAGTTAATCGACAAAACCAACGCATTCTTCATGAGGAAAATGTTGACTACATCCTCAGTGAACAAAACGTCACTACAAAAACAACCACTACAAGAAATGTAGAATCAAAAACATCCCAAGAGCAAACTGACATTAGCAAACATCACAGAGTGACTCAAGATAGGGTCGAGTACGTTGAAATTCCTGTCGATCAATTTGTAAAAACCACCAAAACAACAGTAACTGATTAAATTCCTAGTAATACCACATATCATACCACTTAACTCATGTGATCAACCAAAAGAACGACACCAAGAACGATCAGTTTATATCTACTGGACGTCAACATGAAGTAGAAACTAGAGAAATATACCAACAACGACCAAATGAAGCTCCAAAATCACCACAAGAGCCTCACGTGCAACCAGACAGACGTCAACCAATTCGACCACGAAAATCTGAGCTAGATCAGAAACCATCTCCCACTGACGGACAATACGATACAACTTATCAAAAAAATTTCAGTGGAAGTGAGTGCCACTCATGACGCTTTTGCTAGGTCTTTGAGGTCCATTACGCCTGAAAGTATCACTAGAGGTTCGCCTAGAACCAACAGTAATGCTTCTTTGAGGAGAGACACAAGTCCTGAGAAAATGTGGTTCCCGTCTAGAACATCACCGGAACGTTTTGGAAGATCTAGAAGCCCCAAAAAGGTTGCAGATAAATTTTCAAGCACGGAAACAATCACTTATAGCAGGCAATCACCTGAAAGATACTCCAGTGATATTAAAACTACACATTACAGCACAGACACTTTAACGAGAAAATCTAAAAACGACTCTTTTGACTCCAGCACTTTGACTCGCAAAAAAACTGCTAAACCAAGAAGTCCTTCACCAACCGGAACCACTACAAGTGACTTTGAATATTTCAGAAGCACAAAAGATGTCACTACTGATTTGGATGACATTACCGTAACTAGAAAAGACACTACAAGACCTTCTAGCTTGAACATCACCACTAGAAAAATTTAAAAAGTTACTGAAAGATCACCAACGTCACCTTTAACTGATCTCTGTAGGTCTCCAACAAAAGATTCTCCTACTCCAACCAACGAAAGACCAAAACTTGTCCGAACTGATACTTATGAAGAACGGGTTAAGGAAATTTTGGGTTTAAATAAGGACACTAAAGAGACACGTAGGAGCAGTTTGGAAAAAAGTTCAATTAAAAGGAGTTCGTTTAGGGAAACTAGCACCAGAACTTCAAGTAGCGACGATGTAACCAGAAGGCTATCAAGAAGCAGCCCTGTGAAAACACCAGAAAATCAATATCCGAATAGGGGAAGTCCTGTTAAAGAAAAATCACCATCACAATTTAGAAAGTTGCCAACTAAAAGTAGTCCTTTGGTTTCTGAATTTCCTGCGCAAATTAGAAGGTCGCCAGAAAAACAACCATTAGAACCGTATCCTGAAAGAAGGTCGCCAACTAAAACTGGGCCGAAAATTTCTGAGTTCCCAGCGCAAACTAGGAAGTCTCCAGAAAAAGAACCATTGGAGCCTTATCCTGAAAGATGGTAGCCAACTAAGACTGGGCCAACAGTTTCTGAGTTTCTAGCGCAAACTAGGAATTCTCCAGAAAAAGAACCACTGGAACCATATCCTGAAGGAAGGTCGCCAACTAAGACTGGGCCATCAATTTCTGAATTCCCAGTATAAACAAGGAAGGCTCCAGAAAAAGAACCATTGAAACCGTATGCTGAAAGAAGGTCACCAACTAAAACTGGGCCAACAATTTCTGAGTTTCTAGCGCAAATTAGGAAGTCTCCAGAAAAAGAATCATTGGAACCGTATCCTGAAAGAAGGTCGCCAACCAAAACTGGGCGAACAATTTCTGAGTTTCCAGCGCAAACTAGGAAGTAACCAGAAAAAGAACCATTGGAACCGTATCCTGAAAGAACGTCGCCAACTAAAACTGGGCCAACAATTTCCGAGTTTCCGTCACAAATTAGAACTTCACCAGAAAGGGAGCCATTGGAGCCTTATCCTGAGAAGACAATACCAACGAAAACTGCTCCATCAATTCCAGAATTCCCATCACAAATCAGAAAATCACCTGAGAAAGTTGTCCTAGAACCCTATCCTGAAAGAAAATCTACCAAATCTGGTCCAACCATTTGCGAGTTTCCATCGCAAGTAAGAAAATCTCCTGAAAGAGAACCTTTGGAACCATATCCTGAAAAAACTAGCCCCTCAAAGGATAAACCTTCGCTATCTGAATTCCCATCGCAAATACGTAAATCTCCTGAACCTTTGGAACAGTATCCAGAGAAGAAATCTCCTGGCAAAAATATTCCCAAATCAGCAGAAATTAAACCATCTGGAATATCACAACCAAAGAAGTCTCCAATATATGATGCCTATCTCGAAAAGAAACTACCTAAAAAAGAAGCACCAACCATTGCAGAATTTCCATCTTAAACCAGAAAAGAAAACTCCGCGAAAATATTCAGCAGGCATTTCAGTCGTTCCTTCTCAAATTAAACCTTCGTCCAAGAAACCTAGAAAAGATTCAGAAAGCTCTACATTTGAAACAGAAGACATTGAGGAAACCATCACACAAAAAACTGTAGAAACAGTAGAAACGAGAATCCATGTAGAGGAACCAGTTCTGGAGAAGAAAATTTTCAGTCAACTTTGCAAAGCAGACGAACTAAGGAAAATAGACCACAAGAAAACCACACAACAACCGTCTTCCACTTCCAACTGATCAAGATTTAGGCATTATACATTCGAATTATGCATAACAAAGAGAGTTTATATTATATAGGGACAAATTTTACTCTAAAAATACAAACAAATAAAACTCACAAACAATTTCATAATGATTTCTTTCGTACTATGCCTGGTCTAGTACGAACCAATTCCACCTCTTTATTTCCAGTCATATTTGTATACAACTTATAAACACTACACGACATTCTTTTAATACATTGCATCATTTGAACGCCATTAGCCCTCAAGGTTTTCATCTCTTGCTTTTCGTTTCCTTTTTTCGTCTTGGCATGAACTTGAATAGCGTACAAATACTTAATGGAGGCCTTGTCGATTTTGAGAAAATCCATTAGAATGCCATAAGTCATGCCGCGGATGTCGTAGTAGGAACCGAACTGGAAATTTCTGCAAGGCATTGCGCATTTGCCCTTTTTGGCCACTTCTTGTAGATCTCGGGACTCTTGATCTTTCTCCAAAGTGAAGCCGAAAGGATAGCTTATGGTTTCGCCACCGTCATGTAGTGAAATCAGTAGTTTAATGGCGAATTGATAATGGTTGATTGTTCTTAGTAGAGCCACTGTTTCGGGAGCGTCTTTGATGTAGTGTTCTTTCCAAACTTGGATTTTTTCTGTGGAATGAGAAATACATATAATTATCATTGATCACAAAGAGTGATAGTACAGTAGGGTGAGTTTTAAAAATGGCAAGTCAATTTATGATGAATAAAGGTCACCTGGTGATCTTTTGTTAATAGGTCAATAGGAAGTGAGTTTTCGATTATTGCTGATGAGTCTAAGCTTCCAAAGCTGTTAAAACCAAGACCATCTCCATTTTTTATAGTTTCCTCATCGCCCAAGTTTACATGCAAAGAGGTAGTCAAAAATGAACTAATTGTTATCAATCAATAAATTTATTCAATTTCAATAGGAGATCCTATTTATTGTATAAGTGTTTTAGGAAGCATTTTATCCACGCAAGAATGTTTAATTTTCTTAAGTGGATAAAATGCAACTAAAACACGAATGTAATACAACGTTTTATCCACAATCACACGTACATACACATGGAGGATTGAAGAGCTCCTCTGTTGCTGAAAGTTATATCGAGGATTCCATTTCCAATAAGCTTAGTATTGCAAACAAAATTCAAGGGGAAAATGCCCCTTACAAGAGAAGACACCTGATATTCCTGTTCCTGGTAATTCTGCCAAAACACCCATAAACGTGCGTTCCCAAGCTGATGGAAATTATCACCTTTTTATCAATAATAATGAAGTTATAGGAGACAAATCAAACAACGGAGTATCTAGTAATATAAATGTTAATGTTAATATCAATAAATAAAGAAAAATTTCGTATTTCTTGATTTCATTATTCCACTAGTGGAATAAAGTTATTTTATTCCACTAGTGGATAAAGTATCACTTTAGACGCTCCATATGAGTTGCTAAAACTGCCATTATTTGATGATTGTGGATAAAATATATTTATTGAATTAATATTTATTTGTCTACGTCTATGGGTCATTGCAATCACCATAGCCTTCGATTTTTCTGAGTTAAGTTTCATTTTATTTGTGTTAACGTACCGCAAAGTTTTGTTAAGGTAGTTGTTCATTCGATTTATTGCATCATCCAGATTTTTACTTGAAACAGATAATACAGTGTCATCAGCAAAAAGATTTAAGGACTCACAAGGTACAAAGCACCTTATATCGTTAATGTAGCAGAGAAATAAAAGTGGCCCAAGTACACTTCCCTGGGGACTCCAAAAATACTAGCAAGGGGCTCCGCCAAAACTATATTAATTTTGGTTACTTGTTTACGATCATGCAGGTAGTCGTGAAACCAATCATACACCCTGTCCTGAATGCCTAGAGCCTGCAGTTTTTCTAAAAATAAATTTCGATCTATGGTCTCGAAAGCCCGCTTCAAATCCAAGAAAGCCACCACAACATATTCTCCCTGATCTAAACTTTTTTTCCATTTTGTAATCGTGAGTCGAACTGCCGACTCACATCAATAATAAGACCAAAAACCAGACTGGTAAGACATTAATAAACTATTTTCTTCTAGATACTCAATTAATTGTTTATAAACAATAGCTTCCAGAACTTTTTCAAGGCCAAAACTCCCATGATTTATAAGAGTAGCAATTTTCTGGATTGGTACTATAGTGCTAGTTTTAAGCTGTCTGGGAAATTTACTAGAGGAAAGAGAACTATTCACCAAATGAAGCAAGGCATGACCAATGATTCCATTGTTTGTTTAATAAATTTACAATTATTAATTTCACTTCCTTTTTTGTTTTCCAGTCCAGTAATTATTTTAGAAAGGTCAATCAATACCTTTGAAATGATCAAAAGTAGAAATTACATTATAAATAAGAATTACTCCACTGCAGGCCAGCCGGTATACTGCAACTGGATACAATCATGTTGATACTTTCAATGAAATATTTGTTAAATTGATCTGCAATTTGATCTGACTCCCTATACTTAACATGTCCGCTTATTTCAAATCGGATGCCATTACTAAAGCAGTACTCAGCACAACCATCAGTGTTGACCAACAGTTGAGTTTTCCACATGATAGTAGGATTCCTCTTATTCAAATCAATTTTGTTACAAAAATATTGTTGTGGACTTTTGCAGGTTATTGAGGCAAACAATAAATGTTGAAGGGAAGGTGTTTCAACATTCCACATTATTGGCATGAGTTATTATTTTTATTTTTGATTAGTCTAAATTTAATGGAGTGGGTAATCTGATTTTTTCTATGGCTGTGAATTGTGATTCGTTTTCTGAGTTTAAAATTGAATCATGTGGGATCTTCAGTGTGTATTTTGAGCAGTATTGATATTGGTTCAATCTTCGAAGCTGAAATTGTAAATTGTATGGATTGTAGTTTGCATCTGGAATTGTTTTGGAGGGATACAACAGCTCAGTGGTGCTACCTTTCTAGATATTTTGGGCATAACTCGACTTCTAAATGGTGTCTAAGATTTGTAGGCTTCTCCCAAAAGAAGTCAGTTTCTTGGGTTGTATGATGCGGGCACCTGAAGCACAGAAGTTGAATTTTACGTGATGGTTTAGCGCTTTGTTAGTATTTCAATGTGCTCCAATCCCCAAATCACCAACACTCGTATTTTTGGACATATTTCGGTTTTTTGAAATCGCCTACTTCTTCACACCCAACAGGAACAAAGGAAGCACCAATGTTCAGTTATAGTTAAATGGTTAATGTTTCGTAAGTGCTTCAATTGCTTCAATCCCCACATTAGCAACCTTTTAATTTTCAGAGATATTTTGGATTATAGAAATTGCCTGCTTACTTCAAACCCAGCAGGAAAAGGAAAAAACCAAGGTTTAGTTACAGATGAATGGTTAGTACTTCGTTAATGCTTCAATTCCCAAACTAGCAACCCTTTCAGAGATATTTCGGTTTTTTGAAATCGCCGGCTTATTCACACATAGTGCGAACATTGGAAGCACCAACGTTTAGTAGTTATGAATAGATGGTTAGTGCTTCGGTAGTGCTCCAATATGCTTTAATCCGCAAATTAGCAACCGTTATATTTTCAGAGATAATTCGGTTTTTAGAAATTGCCTGCTCACTTTACACCCTCAGGAATAAGGAAAGCACCAACGTTAAGTTACAGATAAATGGTGAATGTTTCGTTAGTGCTTCATTCCCCAAATTAGCACCCCTTGAATTTTGAGAGATTTTCCAGTTTTTAGAAATCGCCTGCTTAGTTCATACATAGCAGATTGGAAGCACTAACGTTCAGTTGCAGATAGATGGTTAGTCCTGATCTATAACATTTGTGATAAGATGAATATAACGGCTGCCCGAGAGTGAAACTAAGGCCTGGTTTATTCACCTTCTGAGGATTATCTAGAGGATAAAAGCGCAATCTATAATTTTATTCGTCGGCCAGTTATTCGTCGACCAATAGGATTATTGATTGGCAAATTTGTCTTGTAGATATAGTTACCAGTAAGTTTATCGGAAGATAAGTAGACCGGCCTAAGCATTGGGAAGCACTTAGTAGATACCTATTAATCATATTTATAAGTAATTTAAACCAGAGTTTATGCTGTTCATATTCTCGGTTCTCGGTCCTGGTAGAGTGAAATCATCAGGCGATTGCAAAAAGTCGAAATATCTCTGGAAGTATAAGAGTTGTTAAAAGCTGAGGTGGTGCATCATGAATCACTAACAATTAATCTATAGGTAACTGAACATGGTGCTTTTCATGTTCCTGCTGGTAAGTAAGCTGGCAGAAATATCTCTGAAAATATAGGGGTTGCTAATTTGGGGATTGAAGCATATTGAAGCATCAACCATTTATCTGTAACTAAACTTTGGTGCTTGCCTTGTTTCTGTCGGGTGTGAAGTATAGGCAGGCGATTTCAAAAAACCGAAATATCTCCGAAAATAAATGGGTTGCTAATTTGGGGATTGAAGCAGTAATGAAGCGCTAAACGAATAAACGATTACGTGAAATTCAACTTTTATGCTTCAAGTGTGCCTATATGCCTACTTCACAGTGTCTATGATGCCTAATTCTTGGGTCGATGGCGGCGGATCTATAAGACAAATTTGCCAACCGATAATCCTATTGGTCGAAGCATAACTGGCTAACCAAATACGATTATAAATTGCGATTATAAACCTGATGGTTTATCAGTATGAAAATAAACCGGGCCTCAGTTCCTGTTTTGCCCATCCATTATATTCATCTTCTCACAAATGTTATAGATCAGTACTAGCATGTCTTCACTCTCTTTTCCATCTTCTCAATTTGATGATTTACCAACACTACCAAATTTTGGAATCCTTTTGCGTGTATCTTCTGGATCGATTCAAATTCCAATACAAATGACGTTACTTTCTGCTCTTTGAAATAGTGACATTCAGGAAAAAGGCGTTTATTTTTAAGAATAGATGAATAGATGTGTAACTATCAATAAATTGCTCCATATTTTAAAAATTCCTTAAGGAAGGGAGGAAAAGGTTGCTCACTTGAGTAGTATAATGAATTGTTGAACGCCATCACTCGAATCGCAGATACCACTTGAGAAGCATTGAACTAGTGTATCGAAGAGACATGTGTTTTGGATCTGAACTTTTTCTCCATCTATATTCTACGCTTTGGCATTTTGGTGGATGCTTCCAATGTTCCTGCTATGTGTGAACTAAGTAGGCAATCTCTAAAAAGCGGAATATCTTTGAAAACTCAAAAGTTGTCAATTTGGGGGGTTGAACCACTAACGATGAAACAATAACCAATTATCTGTAACTGAACGTTGGTGCTTCCCTTATTCCTGCTGGGTGAGAAGTAAGCAGGCGATTTCAAAAATCCGAAATATCTATGAAAATTTAAGGGTTGTTAATTTGGAGATTGGAGCACTAACGAAGCACTAATCATTTATCTGTAACTGAACGTTGCATTTATCTGTAACTGAACGTTGGTGCTTCCCTTGTTTCTGCTGGGTGTGAAGTAAGCAGGCAATTTTAAAAAATCGGAATATCTCCGAAAATGCGAGGAATGCTAATTTGGAGATTGGAGCACATTGAAGCATTAACGAAGCACTTACCATTTATCTGTAACTGAACATTGGTGCTTCCCTTATTTTTGCTGGGTGTGAAGTAAGCAAGCGATTTCAAAAATCCGAAATATCTCCGAAAATACAAGGGTGGCTAATTTGGGGATTGAAGCTCATTGAAGCACTAACGAAGCGCTAAACGATTACGTAAAATTCAACTTTTGTGCTTCAAGTGTTCCTGTCTACTTCACAGAGCCGTTTGAAAGGACGGTTCTAAAACGGTGCAAAACAATCGCACAGTTTATCAATCAACAAAATGACAACGGCTCGGCTATCACAAATTTCAATAAGAAACTGTGCGATTGTTTTGAACCGTTCTAGAACGGTCCTTATTTCAAACCCGAACAGGGCCAGAATTTGTTTTTCTTGTTGGAATTTCTGATTTGAGTGATCAAAAATTATTTGATGAAAATATTTCCAGTTCTCAAGCCCCCACTGAACACTTTGACGAATTGAAGCGTTATTTAACACTAAGGAAAAAAAATTGGACGCAACACTTCACTAGATTCCAACGTAAGCATTAAATCAATAATTTACAAAGCTGCGCAGCTTTCGTAATGGCACCAAAGTAAAGCGTCAGCAATCGAATCAAGTCTATGAAATGCCTCAATGAATTCTATTTATAATAAACCTTCGAGTCACGGAGGAAAAAGTTTTAGGTTTGATACCCAAAAACGATTGAGAATGGAACGTGCCAATACTATTGATATACCCAAAAATAATTTGAATTTTTATGAAGTTGATAGTGATTTTGAACATGACACAAAAAGACGAGAAAGCTGTTAACGCTCTAAGGACACCTCTAAATGTTGATAATCCGCATACCAAAAAAATTGCACATTTTTTGAGTCCAAAACTGCCTCAGATAAGAAATTTTAGGCTTTCCTTAATAGGCACAACGATTGTGGCGCCAATAAAGGTTCTGTGGTCGAATAATCATACTGTATGGAACCACAGGTTTGGAAATATTAAAAAATATTTTGAAAAAAAAAGTAGCCAGAAACGGGCAAATAATTTCTCAAAAAGCAACGATGACAATATGGAACCGTTTGAATGGTCTCAAAATTATTCGCCAGAAATTTCCAACAAATGTTCGAAGAAAAGCAAAAGGCGATTCAAAGAAATATACCTGAACGTATGCCAAATCAGTACAATCCTAGTCAGAACCGTTATGCTACTCCTCAGAAGCACAATGATCAGGCCTATGATGTATCCTCTCCTGTTATTTTAACAGCTATGTTATAGCTCAACATCTATACTTCTCTCTATTTTAACCTATAGAATAAATAGTGACAGACAACTTAACGTTGCTGTTAAAATAACACAAAATGATACATCATAGGCCTGAATGTTACAAATCAGTAGAATACTGGTCTAATTCAAAATCGGAATGATGTAGACCAACCGTAACATGTGACTGCTAGTGAAGTGAGGAACATGATAAGACAGGAACATTGCAAGATCATTACAATCCCGTACAACAACATCAAAATCCTCCCTCCGCGCCAGCTGGTACCAGCATAGTGTTCAGCTGGGCCGCCTCTAAATTCGAGCAACCCCTGCACAGGAACCACCAAAACCTGAAAGAATAACCAGAGAAGCTGCCAACGTATTTGTTCCAACAAAAAATCGTTGATCGGTCTCCAAAGTATTTGCCTAGCAAATCCAGTACTGTCATAAAGCTAAGTCAGCTAAGTGAAAATTATGAGGAGTATGACAGTAAGGTCAAGACGCAGCCTCAAACGTATCAAATCAGGACAAGTGTAGTTGAAAGTCAGTATACTTACGTCCCCGGTTAGGACTCCAGCACGATATGATCAACCTCAAAATTATCCCATAAGATATGATCAGCAACCGCCTCAAAATTATCACCAGCCCTTAAATTATTCAATTCGTTATGATCAGCGTCGACCAATTCAGGTTGACGTTAAGAAAGTCCAACAGCCTAAATTTCCGACAAAGTTTAGGCAAATATCTAAGGACAGTGTACACGAACACATTGCTGTGAACAGTAGATTGATATCAAGACCTGTGGGTCAGCAGGCTGCAACCGTAACGCAAAAATCCCCAGTGAGTAGGGATCAGCACGACATGGAAGCTGCTTTTTATCTAAAAAATTCCCTACAGAAAGTTACACCACACCCAAGGCAAATCCTGGAGTGTCACCTGCCAGGTCCCCGGTAAACCAAAGTTCCAGCTATAAGCCACGCGCCACGCGACAATGATGAAGGCAAAAACCGCAGTTTAACTCGAAGTTTCAAATATAAAAGTGAAATTGAAAATTCTGTATCAAATACAAACCCAGCGATTGTCCTTATTTGTCCTAAACCTACCGTGTCATCTAGCAGCTTTAGATTCAATAGCACCTTCGAAGAAACTCCTCCCAAAAACTGCGGTGTAGTTAAACCATTGCAACAAGCTACTCCAATCTACAATAACACCGCCAAAAAAACTACAAGTTGATTTCATATACCGATGATCGATGCCAAATAACCAGAATCACCACGAGTACCTACTGAGCAAATCGGATTCCTGGCACGATATTTGCTTGGCCCATCAAAATACTAATCAGAAGCCAGTACCCAAGCCCGGACCTGTAAAGTCAAAACCGAGTCACTCGTTGGCAGTACCAAAACTGTTCAAAGCTGGCATGACCAAGAAAGAGATGCTCAATAAACGGCGAACGATGGGGGCATTTTTAACAGAAAATAAGCCCTGTGAAACTGAAATAGTTGGAGGGAAATCTATAAAAAGAAGTATTAATAGAGTAAAAACCCTTCAAAAAGTATCAACTCAATCTAGAACCGTAAGTGGTGGTTTGAATAGAGGTACAACTTTGCCTGATATGCTATGTCCAGAACGTTTAGATGGAAATCGTAACGCAAAAATCTCCAATTAGCACGACATGGATGCTGCCTTTTATCTTAAAGATTCTTTAGAAAAAGTCACACAGTCACGTTCAATATTGATGTTTACAAGTTTCTCATCAATAAATTGTAAAAAGTTAGGTACCTATTCTTATATTAAATTTTGGTGGTTTATGTGTTCCACTTAAAATTAGTTTTGGTTCTGCTATATCCGAGCATACATATTTAGGACAATGAGTTTTTTGATATTTCTAGTATTTTGAAATCTGGATTATTGTTGTAGTAGGTATTGAATTTTGTTTGTTGTTTGTTTCTTCACCCATGTTTTTGCTATCACATAATTTTTTTCTTCTATAATCAAAATTTCCATTTTATTTTTCGGTGATCTTGCATTAATATATAAAATTTTATATGTTCCATCATTTTTTGTTTTCCATAATTTAACAATAAATAATTCGCTTTTTGCGGCTTCCTCGATTTTTTGTTTATGTAATGGGCAGAGCTGTCACAAGTACGTTACCAAAGTACTTGGAGTACAAGTACAAAGTAGGAACTGAAAGTTTTGTAGAAGTACCTAATTGATACAAAGTACATTTTTTTTCTCAAATGTACTTCAATTATCACGTAATTACTCAATAAAAGTAGGTAGGTACTGATGGAATTTTTCCAGACTTCCTTAACTTGAAGTACAATTGAAGTATTTCGAAAACTTGTACTTCAAATACATTATAATTGGTCTTTCTCATAAATATAAAACACGACAATCATTCATTTATTATGTTTCTTGGAACCTTTGATATCAAAAATTAACCAACAATCCAACAAACAGCCTCTGGTCTGTTACTAAGATTCAAAAGTATAAAGTATTTCAAGTCGAGGACCAAGTACACTTTTGAAGTACTGCAATACTCTCATTATACTCGATGTACTTTTATAGTACTTCTGATGTATTTTTGGTTTCTTCAATAATTTCGGATATCAGTTTGGTTAAATGAATAAAATTAACTTTATAAATAGTAGGTACCATAGGTATGTTGAAAAAGTATCTACTTACCAAGAAAAATGTGACTTTTTATTTTTGCCATGTCACTCAATCCTAAGATCACTGGAAAGTTATTAGTTAAATCTATTCCAAAATTATCCACCTGTTGCTTGTTACAATGCAAACCATCCACATTCTTATTATTATGTTTTTTTGCTTCATCAGTTTCATTAGGATCTTCTTTACCTTTGACTTTATTGCTATTTACTTTATTAAACACCATTGTTTTAGAACAATTTTTATTCGAACCTCTTCTGTTTCCCTTTTTTTGTGCTTTCTCTGTTTCACCAGACGTCTCTTTCTTTATCTTAGTTTCAATGAATTTATCGTACGCATCTGGATTTCCGCAAGGGCAAATAAAATAGTCCATTGTGCGTACGCTATTATCATTTCTCGACAAATGGTCAACTATATGGAGACAATTCGACACGGCAAAGATGTCTTCGCCGTTCAGTCCAGCTTCAATGAACGTTACTTGTTTTGGACTCTCTGTGCTGTTTATTGAGGTTATTTGGACTATCCAGATTGGTTTGCCTTCTTTGGAATCTCCAATAGATTCAACATTTACTGATCGGGGGTGGTCTTTTTGTACTTTTATCAAAAAATCGGTGATTTTATCGTAGCTTAAAAAGCTATCGTGGAATTCTTCACGTCTGATACAAGGCAAGCGTAATTTTTCGACTACGATCGGGTTTTGGCTTGGTGTTTTTGGTTTTTGGGCAACGGTTTTCTTGGATTTTGATTTTTTTATGATTGGTTTTGTAGGTTTTCGGTCGTGCCTCCTTATAGACATGATGAATACACTGGAAATTCTAAAAATAAATTTGCAAAGGATTTAAAAAGTGATTCTCAAAATGACATCTCCAGGTAACTTATCAAAATTTTAAGGCTGTTCTCCATCAATGAATTTTGCGTATGTATTTCCACTCATTGATATTTGCTAATTGTTGGAATGAAAAACACATAAAGAACTTCTTCTTACAAGGAGGTTGTTTGTTCTTATGTAAAAAATACAAGATATTATTCTTTACACTATATGTCAGAGTTTTCTGTGGAGTGGACCTGCAGCACAAAAGCAAAACATGAAAATTCCAGAACTATTTTCGTTCAGAAAGTTTCATCCAATGAGGTTCGTAAAATGTCCTCGTTAAAGGGCCTGCATTTAAAGGAAATGAGTCAATGAAGGTTCTTTACAAAATTTCATTCAAATGTGCTTAGCATAAAATTTTATTCTAATCTATTCTATCATAGAATTGATCTCTATTATGAGGCAAAAGTGTTACAAATTATTGAAAATACAACACAACGCATCAAAATTCTCAGACTTAACACCTATTTTTATTAGATAACCATCTATTGTTATTGAAACACCTACATTCTGGTGTCGGTACATTAAAAAATCGAGGTTTACATCTATTTACATTACGTGATCTCATTGAAAATTTGATTTATTAAAAGACCATTTGTTTCTATTTATTTTGCGCGCAGACGGATTATTTACCATTTAAGGTTGATGACGGCTTTGCATTCGACATTGAATATGAAGATTTGTCATTTTTAGAATGTGGGCGAAATGCATTTTATTGATTAATTTATCGTTTTTTATTCGCACATGACCTCTTGAAATAAGATAAATATAATATTTAATTACTTTCCATACACAAACAAGCCCATGGGTAAGGTTTAACCCAATTCAGCCAAAAATGGTAGTCTGTTTATGGTCAAATATGGAGTGAAGTTAGCACTGATCTTAATATTATGCAACAATTCAATGTTATCATGTTCATAAATTGTTTCGATGTGGCATTCAGAGAATATCGATAAGTTGATTTTTGATGGGTGAAAGTAATTTTTATTAGAAAATATATTTTGTTTGTTGTTGATGAATAAATTTACTATTATAACTGAAGAATCCTTTGGACGAAATTAAATATTAACAGTTTTCAGGACTAAATAAAGTATAAAGACACATCAAATATTAACATTAAAATTAGTATCTTACTTCATACTGTGTCATACATATAGGTATCGAAAAATCTATGTAAAGAAGCAATGTTTACCAATCAAAATAGACGGTAGAATAATTTCAAGTTGACACATGGAAGACGGAAGACCACATTTCATTTACTTATTTCTTCATGCCTATCTTAAAGATATTTGTCGCGATGTTCATCTGTGATCAAGAGTATTTTGTAATTTGGCCGGGACCAGAATCAATACAAACTCATCTTATGAGTTTGTATTGATTGTGTTTTCTCAAATAAAATTTTTCTTTAGTTTTATATTCCATCACATTCTCAAAAAGTTTTGTGATTTTCCTCAACATTGCACCACGTTGAGTTGCAAAGGGTCGAAAATCTATCGGAGTAAATGATGGTATAATTTGCTGTAAAGCCAGATTTGGACTAAGACAAATTTTTTCATTGCTGAAGTATAATTTTAACCGCTTCTGATAATGCACATGATGAAATTTAATTTTCCTACAAAAACCTCGTTTATTATGGCTTATTTCGCTCAAAAAATCAATTATTGCAAATATGTTATAATACCGAAATAAACTTTGCATGTTTGAATGACAAAAATAGCGCATTCTTTATCAGGTAGGTACTGCCTAGCCAATGACTCTCTAATAAACAACACCTTCAGGTACTTATTGCAAGCAAGCGTCGTTAAATACCGAACATTTCCAAACTTGTCTTATTTTTCATTTTCTGCGAGCCTGAAACCAGTTTTTAAACACCCACTGAACTTGAGTCACAAAGATAAGCCACGCAATGGTACTAGTTACAACTTTGGCTTAATATACGCTAATAATATAATTGTGCGGGGTGTCGGGTTGGTCTTTTTTTGTTTTAGAAAAATCACTCTTTGTAACGGTAACTTGAGTAGGTATATTTTGTGATGAGGATTGTGGACCTGTAAAGGATGTTATTCCCTGATTTGTTTTTTTAACAACAATTTATTTTCAGACCTTGAATAAAACATTAAGGTACAAGAAAGACTGGCACAAAGACCTTTAACTGCGTTAGAGTTTTTGAGAGATCATATAACCTTACAATACAAGGTAAGCCAATCAAATAAGGCCGATATTTCATATAGCATTGGTTTAAAAAAAAATCGCTCGGACCCATCGATTTTTATTTCCTGGGAGAAATATTTTGCCCATATCATCAACCTTATCATCAATGCGCCATTTTTTTCCCATTTGGTCCACCCTGTATCTTCAATGTTTTCCAAAATCCCCATTTACATCAAGCTATTCCGAACACCCTGTATAAAATATCAGCCTTGTTTCGTTTTGATTTGCCCACCCTGTATAATAGGAACCAAAATTAATATTCTAATTTTAAAAATAGAAAATAAAGTTCAATTTCCAACTTTGATGCTACAATAATATTATAGGAGGTAGGTTTATTACAGGGTGTGCGGAATAACTTGAAGTACATGGGGATTTTGGAAACCATTGAAGGTATTGAGTGCACCAAATGGGGAAGAAGTTACGCAATCAAGTGCCTACAAATAATCTATCATCAACTTCTTTGAACTTGAAATAGCAACGGATATAAGTACAGAGCAAAAAAAGATGCGTTTCATAAAATCCTTGTATTGTACATTACATCCAGTCCTACACCTACCCTGGAAATTTCTTGATTGTATCTGTTATAATAAACAAGATCTTCTTCTTCCAGTGCCTATCCGTTACCGAATGTTGGCAATCATTCTAGCAATGATAATTTTATTTGTTACTGCTCCTGACGTGGATGTTTTAAACTAGGTTCCTCTAAGTTCTTCAGCCAGGATATTCGTCTTCTGACGATACATGCTTCTCCTGCCCTAGACTTTTCCTTGTAGAATGCATTTTAGCAATTTATATTTGGTTTCGTCTCTAATAATGTAACCCAGATTGTCCAATTTTCTACATTTTGCTGGGTACATTATTTCTCTTTCTTTATTAAGTTTTTGCAGGACTGGACTCAGGTGTTTGATACCTTGTCCATCCATGATACTTTCAGGATTCTTCTATAAATCCACAACTCGAATGCTTCCAGTCTCTTTATTGTTGCCTTCGTCAAGGTCCAAGACTCTACTCCGTATAACAAGATAGAGAATATATGTAGTGCTTTGAATAATTTGGACATTTGAATGAAAGCTGCTCTTGATTTTTCAATTATTGATCTTATTTCTTGGTCTTTGGAAAGGTTCCACTGTTCACTTAGTACTGTACCAAGATAAGTGTATGTTGGCACTCGTTCTACGACTTTCTCATTGATACAAAACTGTACTTCTCCAATTCTTTCCTTGCCAATTATCATGACTTTTGTTTCACTGGTGTTAACTTCTAGGCTATATTTCTTACTAATTTCAACTATACACTGTTCATTAAAAGCTGCAATCCTTGTGCAGTGTCGGCAAAAATAATGATGTCATCGATCTAAAATTGTTTATTCTTTCGCCATTTAATAGTACTCCTGCTTCCGTTTATTCTAGGGCTTCTTGGAGGATTGCCTCTGAGTACATGTTGAATATAAGAGGTGACAGTATACATCCCTGCCATACTTCTCGTAAAATTTCCACTTCCTCTGTTTTCCTATTATTGATTCTAACAGAAGCTGAATGATTCCAGTATAGGTTCTTGATTATACGTAAGTCTTTACCGTCAACTCCATTATCTAGCAGAACTTCCACTTCTATCATTTAGTTGTGGTGAACTTTATCAAATGCCTTTTGATAGTCAATGAAACAGGCATACACATTACGATTCATATCTCTGCAACGTTGGAAAAGCACCTGTACTCTGTTTAAGGCGTCTCTTGTTCCAAGACCTTTCATAAAACCAAATTGTGTTGGTGATACTTGTTCCTCGTAGATTTTGTACAGTCTCCGTTGCATAATTTTTTAAAAATTTTCAACAAGAAGTGACTCATGAGGCTTTATTGTTCTGTAATCACTGCATTTTTTGACACCCTGCTTTTTTGGCAAAACTATAACTCTGATCTCAACCATTCTTTTGGCAGTTTTTCACTGTTGTATATTTCATTGGAAATGACATTTAATTCTTTTTTGAAATTCTCATCAAAGAATTTGATGATCTCTGCACTTCATCTGGACCAGTAGCCTTTCCATCTTTGAGCGACCGTATTGATGCCCCAACTTCATCTAAAAGGATGCCCGATCCTGTTTATTTCGTTCGTGAAGCGTTCCTTAGCATGTCCATGACTTGAGTACTTATCTTTGGCTCATTTTCTCCTATCGTAAGTAGTTGTATGTTGTTTTATTCAGCTTCTTCCATTGTAGGTACCCTGAATTCGGCTACTAACAAATTGTGATCAGAATTTATATCTGCCCCCGGATATGCTTTGTCCACTTTACAGCTATTTCTATATCGAATGTGAAGGAAAGTAGTACTCTAGTTCTGTATCTTTGATTTCCCATTATATAGTCGATTTGGTTCCGTATGATTGTACTATCTTTTCCATCTTTTTGGACTTTTCAGGTATATAATCTCGAAAAATGTGTTCAATATGACCAAATCATTTTTTCCGGCAAAAGTACAAAGTTTTTCTCCACACGCATTTCTTTCTCCGAGGTCATGGGATCCAATATGGTTTCCTGATCTTCCTATTCCCACTTCATGTTCACTTGTGGGAGTATACACTGACATTTTGCTGGAATTGCTTTTATTTGAACTAGCATTATTCTTTCATAGACATGCACTACGTTTGAGACATTAGTTGTATTCCTTTCACACCTAGGAGGAGGTCCGGAACAGCTCCGGGGTTGTTACGCGCTTATTCCTTTCGAAAAGTGTTTGTTGAACCTGAGTGCTCAAGCCCGAAC